CGCTGCATTTTGTGACAAAAGCATGAAACTCTGTACACGTGTTCATTAGGTCCAAATCAAACTTTTGACCCGCAGCACCCACCGAAATTTTCGTGTGGGTTCAAAATTTGAACACTTCTGTTCAAAAGGGCGTTCAAGGTTTTAAACCTGTAAAAATTGACGAATTTTGGCATTCTAGGGGTCGTTTTTGAATGATTTAGGGTCACTGGTGCCAATGGCGGCATTTAAAAAATTGCATATCTGACCCTTAGGCTCCAAATTTGGATTATTTTCAAAATAATGGTTAAATTTTGAATTTTGATAGTTTTAACCCTGCGTGATGTTTCGGATGTCGATTCCAGCTAATTTGGACGTGCACTACACGCTAGAAATGTTATATTGACGTTAAAACAGTTACTATTGTGTAAATAGGTCGTTAATCGTTCAATAATTTGTTCAAAATTTGGAATTTGGAAATTCCATACGTGGAGGATTTTGCCGTTCTTGGTGTCGTTTCCATATAATTTGTGGTTGCTGATGCTGATTTTGTATTCAGAAAACAGATGCGACTCATAGTTAGGCCCTTTTCATACTATTTTACTTATTAAGAGGGAATGTTCGGCGCAGTCATGCCCTTGTTGGCCCGGATTGCAACAACTATTGAATGACAAAGAAAGACGAAAGAGAGGGGCATTTCATTAAGATTCGGAAGTGGACATGTTCTCTGACGGGATATGTCGCCTATGCTTCCATTATTGCCCTCCCGTCATCGTTTGTTGGGAAATCTGTGCTTCCAGTCAGTCTTGAGCTCACTCCATGACAAGTAACATCACGCAGCGAGCAAGTTCCGTCCGACTCGTGCCCCTTTAAACAAGAGTGTCTCCAGCTGATGGCCCAGAAATGGGCAAGTTGACATATGAAGGATAAAAAAATTATTAATTGTAGGTATAGTGCAGAGCACATAAACTTTTACTCTTGTACTGTCTTACCTCTACAACCACAATAATTGTAATAAGCAATTATCGGTCAAGAAAACCATGACACTTGGGTTTTTGGACTGGTTGCTTTGCATTTTGCTACTTTTTTTCATCTCTAAACGGGGGCCGCTGCCCTCCCCCGCCCCCTCTGGCGACGCCCTTGCCTTGAAGCGAGGATATCACAACGATACCGTGAAACACCATCGATCGCGACGCAGTCCCTGGGCGTTCCCTGAAGTCGCCGAGGCAACCCCAAAGTACATCAGACAGCCTGCCATACGATTAGGCCGCGAGTCACAGGCGTTTTAGGCTCTGCGCGTCGCTGTAGGAACTCTAAGCGCATATTGAGAGACCGTTACCACCATGACCATCCAGAAGCTGGTTCTGGCCGCCAGTCTAGTGCCTCTTCAGGTACATCAATAGCACTGGTAGAAGACTACACTTTTAGTAAAAGTTTATCAAATTTAGTCCCTTGGAACTTCGATGCACAGGCTTTGTGCCACTTTGCTTGGTAATGAATGAAAGCAGCTTTAAAATCCCCTCCATTCGTTGAGTTGTTGCACCAGATAACCGGCCTCTAGCGTGTATGCATAGGGTACTGCATAGGTAACTGCTCCAAGTTCGTACCAAGAGATAGATAGCTCGTGTTACGCTTCGCAAGCACTGGATTACTGGCAGAACACACAAGTTTTTTGTTGAATTGCTCTGGCATAAACAACACACTTGCCAGCGCACCGCTGACCAGTGAGACTGGCGCCGCCAGAACCACCAGCTTCTGGCTAGTCAGGTCATGGTGGTAACGGTCTCGCAGAGTTCCTACAGCGACGCGCAGGGCCTAAAACGCCTGTGACTCGCGGCCTAATAGTATCGCCCGCCGTCTGATGTACTTTGGGGGCTGCCTTGGCGACTTCAGGAAAAGCCCAGGCACTGCGTCGCGATCGATCGCGTTTCACGGTATCGTTGCAATATCCTCATTTCCAGGGACACGAGTCGGACGGAACTAGCTCGCTGCGTGATGTTACTTGTCGTGGAGTGAACTCAAGACTGACTGGAAGTACAGATTTCCCAACAAACGATGACGGGAGGGCAATAATGGAAACATAGGCGACATATCCCGTCAGAGAACATGTCCACTTCCGAATCTTAATGAAATGCCCCTCTCTTTCGTCTTTCTTTGTCATTCAATAGTTGTTGCAATCCGGGGCAACAAGGGCATGACTGCGCCGAACATTCCCTCTTAATAGGTAAAATAGTATGAAAAGGGCCCAACTATGAGTCGCATCTGTTTTCTGAATACAAAATCAGCATCAGCAACCACAAATTATATGGAAACGACACCAAGAACGGCAAAATATCCTTCAAGTATGGCATTTCCAAATTTTGAACAAATTATTGAACGATTAACGGCCTATTTACACACCAGAAACTGTTTTAACTTCAATATAACATTTCTAGCGTGTAGTGCACGTCCAAATTAGCTGGAATCGACATCCGAAACATCACGCAGGGTTAAAACTATCAAATTCAAAATTTAACCATTATTTTGAAAATACTCCAAATTTGGGGCCTAAGGGTCAGATATACAACTTTTTTAATGCCGCCATTGGCACCAGCGACCCTAAATCATTCAGAAACGACCCCTAGAACGCCGAAATTCGTTAATTTTTACAGGTTAAAATCTTGAACACCCTTTAGAACAAAAGTGTTCAAATTTTGAACCCACACGAAAATTTCGGTGGGTGCTGCGGGGCAAAAGTTTTATTTGGACCTAATGAACATGTGTACCGAGTTTCATGCTTTTGTCACAAAGTGCAGCGTTTACCTCGATATTCAGTTGTACCGCCTACGCTATTTTAGAAATGTTGCACATTAAACAACTTAACATTGAATTTTAGATCGGACATTCAAAATCCTAGTAGTTACTCTCACTCAATTAATAAAATGTTATTCCATACCCGGTAGTCTATTCTTAACGTGCCATATATATCGAATGTCAAGATCGTGACACTGCTTTTTAAATACCCCTGTACATATTGCTGTGTAAACAATGTCAATGTGGACGTTGATGTTTGGTCCAGACGCTTGAATTAATGACGGGTCAGTAATGTTAGTTTCTTCTCATATATAATACAACAAGAGATCCGAAAATTGTCGGTAACTTTTGCATATCGTAAATAGGAGTATTTGGTGTGACGAAAGCGCGAGTGTCGATTTTATAAAGCAACAAATATGAGTACCTGCGTGCAAAAATTTGTGTTTAAGAAATCGTTACTCAACTGATCAAATCAGGTATTGGAGAGCAATAAGCCTTAACAACAACAGGGCCTAGCTCCGCAAATTCTATTAAACCTTATTTACAACCTGACCAACATCAACATTCCCGCCTGGTTCAGTGCCTTAGAAAAGATGAGGAGAATTCGAACCTCTTAAGTGAAAAAAGCGAAATTGAGTCCAGTCTATCTTTGCTAGAAAATAGTTTTACGAAAATGAGTCCAACCTAGCTTTGCCAGGAACTAGTTTTAAGAATTGTACATTTTACAATTGTAATGTCAAGTGAATCTGTTTAATTAACAATTAAAGTTATGTATAAACGTAATGCAAATGTAATGTAAGTCTAATGCAAGTATAATACAAATGGCAAGTGTAATCGCGGTGACAACTTTTCTGCCAAAAAATTGCCGCTGCTATTTTTTATTGCAGCTTTTAATTGGTCGATAAAAAAAATTCAACTATTCGATTTGGCCAAAATAATCGAGGTGAATTGTCAAATTAATTAATTTTCTGGTGGGTATTTACGTGTTTAACACAAAATGATTATTGTTTCTAGTCGTATCCAAGTGGTTTGTTTTTCCCGTTTAAAAAATTAATTTCTAGAATTTTTAAATGTAGGGCAATTAAAACAGTCTCCCAAGAAAAAACACCACATCAACCAGTTCTGCTTGAGTCGCAACGCTGATTAAAAAACAATCATACTTGAACATCTTTTGTTTCATCATGGCACACTTGGGATCGGAAAAGAACTTTTTTTCTCTGAAAAGTAGAATTACAATCTAACTATCGGACAGTAAAAGGACGAGACATTAACTACTACATGAAGAAATGTTACAATGCTCTTCCTGACTACATCAGGGATCTGGAAGAACAATTCAGAAAAACAGTCAGTGTTCGTGCCAAAGCATTCTATAGTAGGTATTGATGGTAGGGTAACGGGTACAGTTGTTGGCCGGTCACTAGTGATTGGCCACTTTTACAAAAATCCGAAATATTAAGGTTTTCAAAAATTATAAGGAAATAAATATATTTACATTGCAATCTGGCAACATTGATGTTTAATTTGGCTAACTGTCATCTGTCTCATTTTAGTTATCTTGTTGTTACGGCGCGTATTGTTCGAAGCTTAACAGGTGCATCCAGTTTTAAGAGTTTTACAAAGAATTTGTTAAGGAAGTCTATCAAACAGGTATGTTATTTTGGCTAATAGTATTTTGTATCTTGGTATATTACAGTTTCATAGCGATTTAGGGGGGGTATTTCTTACATTATCGGTGGTTTTAAAAGTAAGGTTATAAATTTTGGCGGTAATTTTTAGTGGCCAACAACTGTGTCTTAAATATGTACGCGTTATAATGATTGGCCTACCGGCCAATTACTGTACCTGCTTTAAATTAAAACGTTTATTATAATTTAGGTTGTTTTAGCCTATTGGTCAAATACAAGATTATTTAATGCATTTTTTTTTAAATTTTTATGGCAATAACCAGTGGTTGGCCGACTGCCAATCACTAAACCACCGGGTGGCCAATAATTGTAATGCGTAATAAGAATATATTCTTTGTCTAGATTAAGTTAATAAAATTAGTGCCAATGTGGGCAATAGAAATCAAATTTTAAAAATAAAATTAGAATTATGCGTATTGTAGCTAACATTATTACTTTTAAATTATTTTTATTTTTAGATTAAAAAATGCCAAATGTTCAGAAACGTATCACAAAAAATATACAGAACAAGACCTTCGGTCTGCTTTTGAGGCCATAGAAAACGGCATGAGCCAACGAAAAGCCGCTGAACAATTTAATGTGCCAAGAGCAACACTGCAGTTTAGAGCAAGCGAAAAGTTTAATGAAAAAACTACCCTTGGCCCCAATCCTATTCTTTCTTTGGAGGAAGAGAATCGTTTAAAGAATTGGATCATAACATGCCAAGACAAAGGTTTTCCAGTGAGAGTGGAAGATATACAAGACTCGGTTAAAGGTTTTCTGGACGCAAATCCGCGTGCCAATCCTTTTACCGACAATCGCCCCGGAAGAGGTTGGTATAGATCCTTTTTAAAGCGACACCCAGATTTAAGCGAGAGAACTCCAGAAGCGGTGACAGCAGCAAGTTCAGTTGTGTCTGAAAAAGATATAAAAAAATGGTTCACCAGTGTTCAAGAATACTTGCATCGTAAAGGTTACTTTGATGTTCTTCAAGATCCTTCACGTGTTTTAAATGGGGATGAAACCTGCTTTCTCTTGTGTCCCAAGAATAAACGAGTATTAGCTGTAAAGGGAAGCAGAAATGTATATCAAATAGAGCATCACTCAAAAGTAAATTTAACAGTTATGTTTACCTTCGCAGCATCCGGGGAAGTAACGGCACCAATGGTTATTTACCCTTATAAACGGATTCCTAGCAATGTTGTAAATTCAGTTCCACGAGAATGGGGCGTAGGATGTAGCGATACGGGGTGGATGAAGAATGAAAACTTCTATGAATACGTAGGAAACGTCTTATATAAATACCTAGTTGATAAAAACAGAAAATTTCCAGTTATTTTGTTCGTCGATGGACATAAAACTCACTTAACCATTCAAACCAGTGAATTATGTTCCAAATTACAAATCATTTTAGTGGCATTGTATCCCAACGCGACTAGAATTATGCAGCCTGCAGATGTTGCTGCATTTAAACCATTAAAGGTAAATTGGAACAGGGCAGTATCAAAATTTAGACGAGAAAATCCAAACTCAGTAGTTACCAAAGAGAATTTTGCATTGGTACTAAATACAGCCATTTGTGAATTAAAACCAGATTCCATCATTAATGGCTTTAAAGCAACTGGATTGTATCCATGGAACCCTGAAGCAATAGACTATTCCAAATGTTTAGGGAAGATCAACGACCCGAATAAAGATATTAATCACAATATTTCTGAGACAAAATCAATAACATATGAAGAGTTTGTACACACAGTTGGAGCCGCAAAAATATTAGAATTTGAAAATTTGGAAACTCCCGAAGAACTAAATGGAGATTCAAAATTGCTCTTTAGTATATTTAAGAAATTTCAAAATACCACGGATCTACCCACGATTCAACCTACAGAGACCGATGGAATTACAAATGATATACAACATATCTCTATCATCACAGACAACCATATACCTTCAGATAATCCACTTGAGCCGGCAGAGAGCAATGAAATCATATGCAACATAGAAGATATTCCTATTATCACAGAAGACGACCTACTTTTGGATTTTCGAGTTCAACTTCCAGAAAGCGGTGATATCACATATAACATGAAAGATACTACTACAGTCACAAAAGATATAATGGCCTTAGATATTCCATCGACATCCAATAATATCCCTTTACTTAATCAAGATATCTTTGGAGAGGCTTCAGAACAACAATTAACAGAAGAAAATTCACTGTCGAAAAATACTGGCACCTCAATTGACAAATTCTTTTTCTGGCCAAAAACCCCAGAAAGAAAGGGTAAAAAACAAACAGAAAGGTTGCCTTTCGTGCTTACTTCTTCGGATCGTCAAAATGCAGAGAGGCGTAAAATTGAAGAAAAAGCAGAGCAAGAAAGAATAAAATTAGAACGGAAACAAAAGCGAATTGACGCAAAAGCAAACCATAAGGGCCAAAAAAATAAGGAAACCAAGATCAAAGTAATAAAAAAAATTGCCACAAGAGATAATGCTGAGAGCAGAAAAAGTCAAACTGTTGTGAAAAAGAAAGAAAATTCTTCTTTATCTACTGACAAACGAGTAGACCATATTGGTGGCAGCAGCAAAGAAAGATTTTATTATGACCTAAATAATGCTTCCCGAGATCCGAAAGTTAATACACATGATAGTGTAGGTGCAGATATTTTTAAAGCAGACACACTTTTAAATCATACAATTAAAAGCACTACTTTGAAATGTGGAGTTAGAGTACACATACCAGAAGTAATTAACCCGAAAAATGAAAACCAAGAAATATCACGGAACCAATTTCCTGATTCTGTAGAGGAAAATGATAATCTGTCCACAATTGATAAAAAATGTTTTGATGTTTGCAACAATTTTAAATTTTCAAACTGGAAGAATACGCCCCAAAGCAAATATACTAATTTGGAAACCAGCATAGGGAAACGTGCTGGTGAGTCGGTTAAAAGAAAGTTGTTTTTCGAAACTGAGGGGTATCCAGAAGTTGAAAAAATACGTATTCTTTCAGATATAACGGTGAAACATTCAGAAGACACCAACCCATCTGTAAAGAATCTTTTGTATACTGGATTATGTTATTCTTGTACTTATAACATAACTAAATCTAAAATTGGAATAAAATGTCAATTTTGTATTAGAGGCTATCATATTGGCACTTGTGCAAAGAATCAACAAGAAATCGAAAACTTAGATAACTTTGTGTGTTCTGCCTGCAAAAACAAAAAAACGAACTTCAAAAATCAAGAACTTTGTAATGGCCAATGACTGTAATTTTATATGCCAATAACTATGTTTGTATGGCCAATAACTGTCTAGTTTTATAAGTTTTTAAATTTGTGTTAATTTTGAATATCTATTATTATTTTTACTTAAAATAATATGACTTTTTGTAAAATTTGATGTTTCATTATCATTAAGAAACCCTTACAAAATATTTCACTTTAAAAGATACCAAATTACAATTTTAATTCAATTCGCTGTCCCTTAAGTGGCCAATGACTGTACCGGTTACCCTAGGTCACATTTTGTTATATTTTTAGTATAAATAGTAACTGGCACAGTGCCAATAACTGTGGTTTGTAGTGCCAATCACTGTACTTCGCCTGTGGTCGGAGCCTTTTAGAAACATTCTTTTTCANTATTGAGCTTCGACAGCTATGGTCATTAGCTCTTGTTGCTAATTTAAATGTTATTGTACATGTCTATTACTTTCAAATACGACATTAGGTCTCGATAATTATCACTAATGTTGTAATTGCTTCTTATAAGCTCTAAATGGCCACATTCAAAAATGAAGTGTACTACCGTTAATTCGTGTCCACATCTGGCACATATAGGAACTGGTTCTCCCTTCAGTAGGTATGTATGCGTTACTGCAGTATGGCCTATTCCCAATCTAATTAATTTTGATATGTCTGTTCTAGTGAGTGCAGGATTATCCCATTTAGCTATGGTAGGTTTGATGTTTTTAAGGTGAGTATTACACATATCCCAATCATCTTGCCATTTGGAAACAGTTACACGATTATATTTATTTTTCAAATCTTTGTGTTTTATTTCCGGTACATCGACCGCATCCTGTTTGGTTGCTTCCAGGGCTACCTTGTCAGCTTCCTCATTACCCTGTATGCCCACATGACTGGGGACCCATAGTAAGGTAATATGCTTTCCTTGATTTTCTAAGTATACGATAGATGAATGACACCATTGTGTTATCGTATCATTGTCACAGTTTACTATCGATTTTATAACGGACAAGGAGTCTGTTACAATGCAGAAGTGTCGATAACCCAGTGACATATCACAGTACTTCAGCGCTTGCCTTTCGGTTGAAAATTTTGGGTCAAATTTTTAACTGCTTAGTGAATTGCTCAAATTTTAATTTCACTCTAACGACAGCTCTCATTTTGTAAAGTGTATTGGTAATGAATAAGCGGAAATAACTGAAATTTCTGTGTTTATTAACCCTCCCACTATATCCGTTATCGATTGATTGAGATAACATTAACGCAAAAAATCAAACATTACTTTCAGTAGAATGAACAATAGACCTGTTCATTACTTCTCAGCTCATCAGGAAATGACTTCATTCACTTGTAACCGAATTATCTTTATGGTGCTGATTTATTTATTTTTCAGAAATTTTAAAGCAAATGTAAACTGAAATAATTACTCCTACCTACCCTTTTATTCTTTTACAATCCCGCTTGAAGAGCCAGTTGGTCCTTCTGACACTCTGAGTTTCAGGTGTCGTGTTTACATGAAACAGGGTGACATTTTTTCATGTAATGATGGGAGTACGGAACAACGACTGTTGCAAAAGAATGCAGGTACCTATTTAAGAAAGTCATAACTCATAAGTCACTTTCTCCAAGTGAGTGACAGGTACGATATGCACGTCCATATCAGGGATTATTTACCCATATTTTGGTAAAGCTTTCGTAAATGTCTTAACATCATTTCTAACTGAGGCTAATCTTGCTGAAAGTGCATGCTAATTTCCTTCGTATGTCCCCATTGTCGCCAACTTAACTCTCCAAAGATTGTGTGATTAGAAAGTCTATAACTCCTTCCAATAGAATTTAATATAATTCCCCTGTTTCTAGGACTGTTGATCATTGATTCTGAAGTATAGTAGGGAAGGAACGCAAAATAAAAGACTACGACGGCGTAATAGTATCTATAATTCGTATTAGAATAATTCTTTGCATTTTGGTCAGTTATTTTAATATTGAAACTATTGTCAATATATGAGATAAACTGTTGCAATTGATTCACAATAAAGCATGATAAATATAAATGACAATGTTACACATAAAATATGATATAAAAACACGTTAAAAGTAAGTTGCAAAACAAAGAACTGGTTGGAATACAAGCAGGTAACAAAACGAGGTAACTGTACAGGGTGAGTCAACGATTGCGCGGAGTAACTTAATGCCTTGAAGATAAGATTTTTCGATAGAGTGCTATTGTAATATGATATCGTTGAATATTCTTCACATTTTAAAAATATTTGGAACTATACAGGGTGCGCCCACAAAGAAGGTCGGCAAAATGGTACATGTATTTGAATGAATTTTTGAATTATACGCGTAATTGTACGCCCTTTTTATTATATGGTTAATGTCCGAAAAACTAGTATTTTTAAAGATAATTTGATTTGTAAGAAAAGTTGGGCATTTGCAAGCGCCAGTATAGGTAAAATAATAAGTTTTCCGTTGCACGTCATTAATTTTCTGACGTCGTTCTTATGCAGAGTTGACAAACATTTAGTATACTATAGAACTATTTACAAATCATTGTATCTACTGCTTGCACATTTGACCTACTAAGCATGTAGTATCAACAATAATTTTAGAATCGCTTTTACGTGCATGAAATTACCTTTAAATTGCAGCCATAAAACCACACTTTTTTTATAGTAGGTACCCCACTCAGTACCTACTCATAATTAATATATCCTTACAATCTTGAAAACTTGAATCAAATAAACATTAACACAAGAAAATTATACAAAAATAAACCCACCAGACAATCTATAAAGGATACAAATCTTAACTCCATATTCAATTGTCATGAAGTACAAGATATTTACGTGTACAGGAATGTCGAATATCAATTGCTTACAAGCGATCGACTTTTTAATGTTGGAGCTTTATGTAAGGATTAACACTTTGAAGTTACATACTGGAAAGTTAAGAACCGACAGCAATTTCGATAAATTCATTAATTAACTTTTCTACATGGTTTAAAGGCTTCACAATTTACATGTCATACTTCACCATCAAAGCCAGGGGATAGTATTTTGCAGTAATAAGTCACTTTTATGTAATTATTTTATAATCTTACAATGTAAATAAG